AAGTGCATCAATTGATAGTAACAATTTATTATTCAAAATATCGACGTAATAAATAGAATTGAGTCGACCATCAAATAATTTAAACATACCAAGACCATAATATGTTATGCATCACCATATTCCGACCGACCCGCTACCTTGTTTTGTTCTTTGAACAATACAATCAAGATTATATTTTTCGGAAGGCTGTTTGCGAATCGAAATTCTGTATTTTTGGTTATCAACCTCGATATTCATCTCATCACTGAACATTTCTGTCCTCCATTTTTCTTTAGACCACTCTTTTACACTTTGGCAAAATTCTTCTCGCTTTTTTATATGTTGTTTTTAAATAGTATTATATTATAATAATAATATATAGTAGAATAATAATAGTGATAAGTTTTTAAATTACAAATATATGTTTTAAAAATATATATATAACTTCACATTGCATATATATATATATATATATATATATATATATATATATATATATATATATATATATATATATATATATATATATATAAACAAGTTTGAGGTTTAAATATTTTTGTATTTTGTATCACATTGCATACATATATATAAATATATGTATATATATATATATATATATATATATATATATATATATATATATATATATATATATATATATATATATATATATATATATATATATATATATATATAAACGATTGGACTAACTCGCCCGAACCTAAAGCCGATCCTGCTTTGCGGTAGTTTTACGAGATGGGTATACAAGGGAAATACATTAAGTCCATTTTTGGCAGTATAGAGTTATTTACACCACTATTTAGTATTTTAAATTTTCTATCATTTAATATACCACACTGATTTAATAAACCAATTATTAAAGTGTTATTAAGATTTATAATTTCAACTATTACTCAAAATCTTATTGGCTCATTATCTCTCTCTCTCTCTCTCTCTCTCTCTCTCTCTCTCTATATATATATATATATATATATATATATATATATATATATATATATATATATATATATATATATATATATATATATATATATATATATATATATATATATATATATATATATATATATATATCTTTATATATATATATACATATATATATATATATATAATAATAGAGTTTGATTATTTGAAAAAATACAACTTTTTCATGGTACTTGAAGGCATACAGCTATAACTTACTTTTATGGTTTTTCTGTTGAAGATTTTGTGGAACTTGTGATTTATTGGGAAGTGTTTGTTGACTAAAGTTAAGAAGCTTTTTCCTATGTTAGTGCTTACATTTTTGCTGAAAGGTGGGTTACACCAAATGATGTTGCGTTTACTGTTTTTTGTATAAGGTGAATTTAAATAAGGGTAGTATGAAAGTTTATGATTAAAACCGGACTTTAACAGTGCGTCATTGTATGCAGGAGTAGATCTTTGGAACCAATTGCAACTTTCCTTTGGAACCAATTGCAACTTTAGAACCAATTGGAACCAAACCTTTGGAACCAATTGCAACTGCCTTAATAAAAGCACCTGCCCTCTATCAAACCAATGCTTAACAAAAAACATTGTATACCAAGCTAAAATAAGTTCAACTAATTCTACTACCACTCCTGTCAACAAACTATACATCGGTATAAGCGAAACACCATTCAAAATTAGATATGCCAACCATATAAAATCTTTTACCATTCTAAAATACAAAAATGACACTGAACTATCAAAAGAATTTTGGAAACTGAAAGATGCAAATTTAAATCCAGTTATTCAATGGAAAATAATTAAGCAGTGCAATGCTTATAACCCAACCATGAAGTCTTGCAAACTGTGTATAAATGAAAAATATTAAATTCTGTTTTCCAAAAATAAAAATCTAATTAACAAAAAAAGTGAAATGATATCCAAGTGCAGGCATCGAAACAAGTTTCTTCTCACCCATTTCGACACGGCCGATTAAACAATTTTCTAATTACAAATTTGTTTTGACGTCAGAACTCATTTTATTGCTTTGTTATTGTTTTTTCTGTTAATTTTTGTGTTTTTTATTTTTTAACGGTTTTTTCTTGTTTTAAAAGAATAAAATATGGCTGATGATTGCCGAAGGGCATGAAACTTCAAGTACCATGAAAAAGTTGTATTTTTTCAAATAATCAAACTCTATTATTATTATTATTATTGATCTATTTTGTAAACACTTACATTATATTGATCACTCTCAAACGAACAAGAGACTTATAAATATATAATATATATATAATATATATATATATATATATATATATATATATATATATATATATATATATATATATATTAGGGTGGTTCTTAAAACAACTTTTTTGAGAAAAACCTGCTTCCATCCCCTAAATGTGTTATATCTAATACAAAAACAGTAGGTTTAAAATTTTAAATAAAAAATATTTTAAGAGGATCCCGCAAGACCCTCGAATATGGAATTCGTCCCTAATATTTAAAAAAAAAAGTGTTTCAAAAATATGTCAACCTGGTACTCAAACGAAGCAAAATTATATAAAATTTCAAATATAATATTCATTTAAAAAAAAAAAATTATTTTTGGTTTTATTACTTAAAAAATTCCATTTTCTAACAAAAAATGAAAAAAAAAAAATTATATTTTTTTATGATCATTTTAATAAATAAGTTGAAATTTTCTCAAAATGAATATAATAATTTTTATATAATTTCGCTTCATTTAAGTACCACGTTGACATATTTTTGAAAAACTTTTTTTTGAAAATATTAGGGACCCACTAAATATTTGAGGGTCTTGAGGGTTCTCTTAAAATATTTTTTATTCAAAAAAATTTTAAACCTAGTGTTTTTGTATTAGACACATTTAGGTGGTGGGAGCAGGTTTTTATTAAAAAAGTTGTTATAAGGGCCACCCAAATATATATATATATATATATATATATATATATATATATATATATATATATATATATATATATATATATATATATATATATATATATATATATACATATATATATATATATATATATATATATATATATATATATATATATATATATATATATACATATATATATATATATATATATATATATATATATATATATATATATATATATATATATATGTATATATATATATATATATATATATATATATATATATATATTATATTGTATGATATTTTGTATTTGCAATAAAATACAAAAAAACTCTTGAACGTATAAGAGTGCTCAATAATAAATAAATAGGATTTATTTATATTATTTAATAGAGCATTATATTAATTTATAAAAATAAAGAAAACAACTTTTTTTGGTACTAATAGTTTCATGCCTAAAGGCAATCATCAGCCATGTAATACAAAACAAGAAACAAAAAAAAAACCGTTAAAATATAAAGTTACAGTGGAATGTGCTCCGTCGTCAAAACAAAACAAAAACAAAAACCTAAAAACGGCTGCCTAATCACCCGTATCGAAATTCGAAAGGAGGAACTTGCTTTTATGTCTACATTTAGATACTAATTCATTCCTCTTATTTAATAAGTTATCATAGGTGTACGATATTATGTACGATATTATATATATATATATATATATATATATATATATATATATATATATATATATATATATATATATATTATATATATATATATATATATATATCATAATATCGTACACCTATGATAACTTATTAAATAAGAGGAATGAATTAGTATCTAAATGTAGACATAAAAGCAAGTTCCTCCTTTCGAATTTCGATACGGGTGATTAGGCAGCCGTTTTTAGGTTTTTGTTTTTGTTTTGTTTTGACGACGGAGCACATTCCACTGTAACTTTATATTTTAACGGTTTTTTTTTGTTTCTTGTTTTGTATTACATGGCTGATGATTGCCTTTAGGCATGAAACTATTAGTACCAAAAAAAGTTGTTTTCTTTATTTTTATAAATTAATATATATATATATATATATATATATATATATATATATATATATATATATATATATATATATATATATATATATATATATATATATATATATATAGTGCTTAAAGAGGAGAAAAAAAGGAAACAGGTTAGTATACGGTAAATTAGAAATACAATCCCGCCTAATAATTGTTATATATAGATTTATATATATATATATATATATATATATATATTTATATATATAAATATATATATTATATATATATATATAAATATTTAAATATATATATATATATATATATATATATATATATATATATATATATATATATATATATATATATATATATATATATATATATATATATATATATATATATATATATATATATATATATATATATATATATATATATATATATATATATATATTCATGCCGGTTAAGTCGACACTTTGTATGAAAAATTGCGCGATAAAGGAGACACATATATAAAGGCGACAAAATCGCGTCGCCTTTATTTTTTAATGTAAAATATTGAGTCATTCCCGCGCTTTGCATATTTTAAAACAATTGCAAAGAAGAAACTTAGTTACCATGTTTTTAATCTATGTAGGATAGTTTTATTTTTGAAACATTTTTAGAGGAAAATAAGCACTAAGTTTAGATCCGTATATGAATGATAATGAAAAAAATAGCTATAAAGGCGACGTTAGTGTATATTTGCGTGTATATTGCAAGTTAAAGGCGACAATTTTTTTAAGTTTTAGGATTTTAGAGGTAAAACATGTATAAATTTATGATATAATATTTTATACATGTTATTTTTATGTTATTTATCTTAAATATGTATTAAAAAATTAAAACAAAAAATGTTTATGTCGCCTTAAAATATCTTTTTAAACAGTGTCGACTTTGCATGGTATTTAGCAGTATATATATATATATATATATATATATATATATATATATATATATATATATATATATATATATATATATATATATATATATATATATATATATATATATATATATATATAAACGTACCTCTTATTACGTTGTATAGCTTGGCTAGACTAAAAAGATTCTTTGTCTTTTCCAGCTGCCATTATAGATTTGGCCATGAGTGAATTTGTCATAAAACTAAAAATAATATATTTTAATAATATTATATCTTATAATTTATGAAATTATAATTAACTACTGTATTAAAAATTTTTTTTTTTTTTTTTCATAAAATCTAAATGTAATTAAACATTTAGATTTTAATTTACCGATACAGTTTATCTATTAAATATAATCTATTATTTAAAAAGTAGCACACTAACCATTAATGTAGTCCAGATCATAAGTGTACACTAACCATTAGTGTAGTCATATATATGTATATTATCTGGGTTAAAAGAATTATCTGGACTAAAGTTTAAACTGTAGGATAACCTTTAATTTAACTTAACTTTTTAAATTTAAATTTAAATTAACTTTTAATTTTTAGGATAAGCTTTAAACTTGCAAACTAGAAAAAGTGTAAATTAGTATCAGTGCGCCAAACAGGTTAGCAAACATTACGAACAGGCATAAGTGCAAAGTTTGATTAAGTACAAAACAGTTACAAAAACTGGCAAAAGTGCGAACTGACATAAGTGGGTGTAACAAATTTGCAAACATTGGCCTAAGTGCTGATTGGCATTTTGCCCATATGCTAGTTTGCAGTTATGCCAGTTTGGAATTATGCTAAATTTTGCAAATTTATTTAGCACACTTATGTCAGTTCGCATTTATGTTGTTTGCACTTTTGCCAGTTTTTGCAACTGCTTCACATTTATACCAGTTTCCACTTATGGCAATTCACACTTAAGCGAATGTTTGTAAATCTATTTAGCGCACTTATGCCAATTTACACATATGCCAGTTTACACTTATAGCAGTTTGCACTTATGCCAATGTTTGGAACTTTTTTTGTGCAGTTATGCCCATTTGCACTTATGCCATTTGGCATTGTGCCAGTTTTTGTAACTGCTTCGCACATGTGCTAGTTTGCGCGTATGAAGTTCATGGTTATTTAGTCAACCCATTATGGTAAAACGGCTAACGTAGAGCCATGCATGGGATTTGTATTATGGATTGTAAGATGGGAGTAATATCATTAAAAAATTAAACAGAGTATTTATAGGAATGCACTTTTATTTTACTAACCTCTTCATCATAGCTATCACAAGTTTTTGACAGTTCTTACCACCAATATTTTGAACTCTTTGTTTCTAATAGAAAGAAATAATGGAAATCTGACAATTCCTAATTAAGTAGTAAAAATTATATGTTGTAAAGAAAATTTAAAAAAAAAGAAAAATCTGTCAAATTAGTATTTAGCAGTTTACAACTGCAAAGATACTACAGAGTTACTAGATGAAACATTGTCAAGTGCTGAGTCAAACTTATCAAGTTCTATTATGCTGTTCATTTCAGTTACTACTTCTTCTTCACACTATTTTATATTAAGTTTTTTGCATCCTTGGGTTTTTATCTCATTTAAGAGAAGCAACACACAATATTGAAAGTCTAAACAAATTTACAGTAATTAAATTTTACATAGTCTTAAGTAAACTACGTAAATAAATAAAATTAAAATACATAAATTTAACAATTTTACAACTTTACTGGTCCAACCCTAAATCAGAGAAAAACTAATAGACAGTAAAATACCTAATAGTGGCAATGTTATATTATATATATTAGCGTTTTTCTCAGAATTCGGGTTAGACAAGAAAGATTGTTCCATAGATTTATAGTTTTGATAATATTGAAATAATGGATTTCATGAATGTGATTATTTAAAGTTAAAATTGGAACCTTATTGTTTTAATAGTGTTTTTTTAATATTGACAGTCATGTTAGCATTTTACAACAAACATTACAGTATTATTTTTAACTAAAGACTTACTTGCTTGAGATAATGGAAATCCATCATGTTTATCCTTTTTTTTTAAAGATGATGAATATTGATGTGTCATAAAATGAATCTATTGGTCATCACAATTAATATAATCTTTATTTATTATTTTTTGACCTACAGGTCACAAGCATAGGTAATATTTGAATTTCATCTAACAACTTGTCTTCTCGTGTAGCAATTTTACAATTAAAAAATTTTTACAAATTACTTTACAGATTAATAACTTTAAAAGTAAAATAGGGTATATAGTATGGTATATAATATTATAGGTTTCATACTGCTTAATATTTGGTAATAACACCAGAATATCATTAAAGAATAAAAACTTTAAAATGACATTTCGAAGTAAGTCACTCCCTTTCTTGAAACAAATCATCGTATTTTTTTTCCTTTTAGCCTTTTTAACTATAGTAATTCTTTTAAAAAAACGACTGATATTATCATTTTTAATTTTTAGAGTTAAAGAAGAAAAACTCTGAGAATGTTGTTCTCTTTTCTCAAATCCAAATAAATTTTTTGCGTTAAAAGCAGTTGATAATTAAGTAGAATTAAAAACTTAATCTAGTTTTTTTAAGCATTTAAGTTTACTCAACAATTAAGTTATTTAATAGAGAAAAATAATCTAGTTAATCGCGCAATTACAACTTTGTTAATCTTATCTACTTGATTCAAGTAGAAATACAAACACAACCTAGTTTCAACGAAGGCATACAACTTTAAACTAAAAATACTCCGATATATTTTCAAATTTAATTCTACAAGAAAACAATACAAACACTTGGTTGATTTAAATATATACTAATTTATATAATTTTTACTTAAATAAATCAATTCGCCTAATCGAAGGTCACGCCATTATTTGCGTAAACATACTCTTTTAGATATTGCCGTGCTGTACGTTTAAAAAAGTTTTTTTATCACGTGAAAAAAAACGTTTTAAAAACGTTCATAAGCTAACTGAGAAATTTCGTAAGTTAATAAAAAAAAAAACGTTTAAAAAACGCTAAAAAAACGTTTAAATTAACATTAAAAAAAACGTTTGCAAAAAAACGTTTGAAAAACAATTGTATTGGTTCTTTTAACGTCCGACCGTAAATTGAACGGAATTAAAACGTTTTAAAAACGTCCTGTGCTTACTGGGATATCTGTTGGATTTAAGGTACTTTAACACAAGTAGAAGTTGCCAGCTTTAACGAATCAGTAATTATTGCATCGACTCTGTTTATGATTAGTGAGCAGTCGATGCACAAACTAAAAGAATAAACTATATATTTACAACAGACAATCTGAACAGCAACATTAGTATTATAGTATAATAATAATATAATAGTATAATAATAATAATAGTAATAAGTTTTTACATTACAAATATATGTTTTAAAAATATATATATATATATATATACATTTTATAATACGCACAAATATAAAGTATGTTAGATATATATACACACACAAACACACACACCTACACACACATACACACACACACACACACACACACACACTCACACACATCCCAGTAAGGGATGAACGTTTTTAAAACGTTTATTTAACTAAGAAAAAAACCGTTTTTTAAACGTTCTGAATGGCAATACCTAAACAACGTTTTTAAAAAAGCGTTTTAAAAACGTTCTGAAAAAGTCGTTTAAAAAACGTTCTAAAAAAAACATTTAAAAATGTTCTCAAATAACCTAAATTAAACCATAAAAAAAACGTCTTTTAAACTTTTAAAAGACGTTATTTTTGAGAAAATATTCCTAAATCCATAGGTACTATTATTAAATTGTTTTTAAAAAAACCTGTTGGTTTAAAAAACAAGAAAAATAAAAAATTTATTTAAAAGTTATTTTTAAATTTATTTTATAAAACAATTTACAAACAAAGTAATATTATAACGATGATATCTGTTGGATTTAAGGCACTTTAAGACAAGCAAAAGTTGCCCGTTTTCACGAATCAGCAATTATTGCATCGACAATCGACTCTGTGTATGATTCGTGAGAAGTCGATGCACAAACTAAAAGAAAAAACTATATATTTAAAACAGACAATCTGAACAGTAATAATAGTATTATAGTATAATAATAATATATAGTATAATAATAATAGTAATAAGTTTTTAAATTACAAATATATGTTTTAAAAATATATATATAAATTCACATTGCATATATATATATATATATATATATATATATATATATATATATATATATATATATATATATATATATATATATATAGATATAGGGTGGTCCTTGAAACAACTTTTTTGAAAGAAACCTGCTTCCACCCCCTAAATGTGTTATATCTAATACAAAAACAGTAGGTTTAAATTTTTTTTAAATAAAAAATATATTAAGAGGATCCCTCGAATATTGAATTGGTCCCTAATGTTTTCAAAAAAAAGTTTTTCAAAAATATGCTAACCTGGTACTCAAATGAAGCAAAATTATATAAAATTTCAAAAATAATATTCATTTAAAAAAAAAATTATTTCTTGTTTTATTACTTAAAAAATTATATTTTCTAACAAAAAATGAAAAAAAAAATTTATGTATTTTTATGATCATTTTAATAAATAAGTTAAATAATTAATTTTAATAAATAAGATCATTTTAATAAATAAGTATTTTTCAAATTTTATATAATTTTTCTTTATTTGAGTACCACGTTGACATATTTTTGAAAAACTTTTTTTTTGAAAATATTAGGGACCCATTATATATTTGAGGGTCTCGAGAGTCCCCTTAAAATATTTTTTATTCAAAAAAATTTTAAACCTAGTGTTTTTTGATTTAGATAAAACACATTTAAGGGGTGGGAGCAGGTTTTTATCAAAAAAGTTGTTATAAGGGCCACCCTAATATATATATATATATATATATATATATATATATATATATATATATATATATATATATATATATATATATATATATACATATATATATATATATATGTATATATATATATATATATATATATATATATATATATATATATATATATATATATATATATAAATTTTCCTGAGACACGAATCGATGTCTATTATTCATAAGAACAAAGTAAAAAAAATGTTTTTTGATTTTGATGATATCTTGAGGTTCCTCTTTGGATTCTAAATTCTTGACTGGTCCTAATGTTTTTGATTTTTTTTTCTAAATCATAACAACCTTAAAATTAAAAAAAAAAAAAAAAAAAATCTGCTTGTTTTATAATTAATTATTGCCCTTTGGCAATCACTAGCTATATTATATATATATATATATATTTACATATATATATATATATATATATATATATATATATATATATATATATATATATATATATATATATATATATATATATATATATATATATATATATATATATATATATATATATATATATATATATATATATATATATATACATATATATATATATATATATATATATATATATATACATATATATATATATATATATATATATATATATATATATATATATATATATATATATATATATATATATATATATATAAATATATATATATATATATATATATATATATATATATATATATATAATATGTATATACAAATATAATATATATATACAAATAGTATTGCGTACTAAAGTAAGCAATCTGATGTCATACTGAAACAGCCAGCTGCTGGGGGCAGTACATACATTGACTGAGGGTTTGGGATGGGAAAGCAATCGTTTTATTCATCATTCTTCGTATTTTCTTCTTTTTTGAAAAAAACGGTAAAGCTTAAGGTAAGCAGAAAAAGTGAGCAAATGCTTATCAAAACACATTTTAGTAAGTGTATATATATATATATATATACACTTACTATAATATATATATATATATATATATATATATATATATATATATATATATATATATATATATATATATATATATATATATATATATATATATATATATACACACAGTGCTTGAAGAAGAGAAAAAAAGGAAACAGGTTAGTATTCGGTAAATTAGAAATACAATCCCGCCTAATAATTGTTATATATAGATTTATATATATATATATATATATATATATATATATATATATATATATATATATATATATATACATATATATATATATACATATATATATATATATATATATATATATATATATATATATATATATATATATATATATATATATATATATATATATATATATAAACGTACCTTTTATTAAGTTGTGTAGCTTGGTTAGGCTAAAAAGATCCTTTGCCTTTTCCAGCTGCCATATTAGATTTGGCCATGAGCGAATTTGTCATAAAACTAAAAATAATATATTTTAATAATATTATATTTTATAATTTATGAAATTATAATTAACTACTGTATTTAAAATTTTTGTATTTTTTTTCATAAAATGTAAATGTAATTAAACATTTAGATTTTAATTTAACGATACAGTTTATCTATTAATTAAATCTAATCTATTATTTAAAAAATAGCACACTAACCATTAATGTAGTCCAGATCATAAGTGTACACTAACCATCAGTGTAGTCATATATATAAATATTATCTGGTTTAAAAGAATTTTCTGGACTAAAGTTTAAAGCTATAGGATAACCTATAGCTTTAAACTTGAAAACTAGAAAAAGTGTAAATTGGCATTAGTGCGCCAAACAGGTTAGCAAACATTACGAATAGGCATAAGTGCAAAATTTGAATAAGTACAAAACAGTTGCAAAAACTGGCAGAAGTGCGAACTGACATAAATGCGTGTAATAAATTTGCAGTTTGGAATTATGCTAAATTTTGCAAATTTATTTGGCAAACGTATGCCAGTTTGCATTTATGTTGTTTGCACTTTTGCGAGTTTTTGCAACTGCTTCACATTTATACCAGTTCCCACTTATGGCAATTCACACTTATGCGAATGTTTGAAAATCTATTTAGCGCACTTATGCCAATTGACACATATGCCAGTTTGCACTTATAGCAGTTTGCACTTATGCCAATGTTAGGAATTCTTTTTGTGCAGTTATGCCCATTTGCAGTTATGACATTTGGCATTGTGCCAGTTGTAACTGCTTCGCACATGTGCTAGTTTGCGCGTATGAAATTCACGGTTATTCAGTCATCCCATTACTGTAAAACGGCTAACGTAGAGCCATGCATGGGATTTGTATAATTGATTGTAAGATGGGAGTAATATCATTATAAAATTAAACAGAGTATTTATAGGAATGCACTTTTAATTTACTAACCTCTTCATCACAGCTATTACAAGTTTTTGACAGTTCTTACCACTGATATTTTGAACTCTTTGTTTCTAATAGAAAGAAATAATGGAAATCTGACAATTCCTAATTAAGTAGTAAAAATTATATATTGTAAAGAAAATTAAAAAAAAAAGAAAAATCTGTCAAATCAGTACTTAGCAATTTACAACTGCAAAGATACTACGAGTTACTAGATGAAACATTGTCAAGTACTGAGTCAAACTTATCAAATTCTATTATGCTGTTCATTTTAGTTACTACTTCTTCTTCACACTATTTTATATTAAGTTTTTTGCATCCTTGGGTTTTTATCTCATTTAAGAGAAGCAACACATAATATTGAAAGTCTAAACAAATTTACACTAATCAAATTTTACATTGTCTTAACTAAACTACGTAAATAAATTTAAAATACATAAATTTAACAATTTAACAACTTTAGTGGTCTAACTCTAAATCAGAGAAAAACTAATTGACAGTAAAATACCTAATTGTGGCAATGCTATATATATATTAGCATTTTTCTCAGATTTCGGATTAGACAAGAACGATTGTTCCATAGATTTATAGTTTTGATAATATTGAAATAATGGATTTCATAAAGGTGATTATCTAAAGTTAAAATTGGAACCTCATTTTTTTAATGATGTTTTTTAATATTGACAGTCATGTTAGCATTTTACAACAAACATTACAATATTATTTTGAACTAAAGACTTACTTGCTTGAGATAATGGAAAACCATAATGTTTATCCTTTTTATTTACAGATGATGAAGATTGATGTGTCTTAAAATAAATCTTATGGTCATCACAATCAATATCATCTTTGTTTATTGTTTTTTGACTTACACAACACAAACATAGAGAATATTTGAATTTCATCTAACAACTTGTCTTCTCGTGTAGCAATTTTACAATTAAAAAATTTTTACAAATTACTTTACAGATTATTAACTTTATAAGTATAATAGGGTATATAGTATGGTATATTTTATTATAGGTTTCATACTGCTAAACATTTGGTAATAACACCAGAATATCATTAAAGAATAAAAATTTTAAAATGACATTTTGAAGTAAGTTACTCCCTTTCTTGAAACAAATCATCATATTTTTTCCTTTCAGCCTGTTTTAACTATAGTAATTCTTTTATAAAAACTTTATTAATCATATCTACTTGATTCAAGTATAAATACAAACACAACCAAATTTCAACGAAGGCATACAACTTTAAACTAAAAATACTCCAATATATTTTCAAATTTAATTCTACAAAAAAACAATACAAACACTTGGTTGATTTAAATATATACTAATTTATAAAATTTTTACTTAAATAAATCAATTCGTCTAATCGAAGGTCACGCCATTATTTGCGTAAACAAACTCTTTTAAATATTGCCGTACTGTACGTTTAAAAAAAGTTTTTTTATCACGTTAAAAATACGTTTTAAAAACGTTCATAAGCTAACTGAGAAATTTCGTAAGTTAATAAAAAAAATAAAACGTTTAAAAAACGCTAAAAAAAACGTTTAAATTAACATTAAAAAAAACGTTTGCAAAAAAACGTTTGAAAAACGATTGTATTGGTTCTTTTAACGTCCGACCGTAAATTGAACGGAATTAAAACGTTTTAAAAACGTCCTGTGCTTACTGGGATACACACACACACACACACACACACACACACACACACACACACACACACACACACACACACACACACACACACATATATATATATATATATATATATATATATATATATATATATATATATATATATATATATTTATATATATATATATATATATATATATCAGTGACGGATCAAGTAATTTTTTTTGAGGTTTAATAATTTTTGTATTTTTGTATCACATTGCATATGTATATTTATATATATATACATATATATATATATATATATATATATATATATATATATATATATATATATATATATATATATATATATATATATATATATATTTATATATATATATATATATATATATATATATATATATATGCATGCATATATATATATATATATTTATTTATAAATATATATATATATATATATTTATATATATATATATATATATATATATATATATATATATATATATATTATATATATATATATATATATATATATATATATATATATATATATATATATATATATATATATATATATATATATAGATATATAGATATATAGATATATAGATATATAGATATATAGATATATAGATATATAGATATCTTTTCCAGCTGCCATATTAAACTTGATCATGAATGAATTTGTCATAAAACTAAAAATACCATAATTTAATAATATTATATTTTATAATTTATGAAATTACAATTAACTACTCTATTCTACTCTAAAATGTTTTTTTTCTCATAATTTAAATCTAAATGTTTTATTAAATTTAATGATACAGTTTATCTATTAATTATTATTATTTAAAAAATAGCATACTAACAATTAGTGCAGTTCATATCATTAGTGTACACTAACCATTATTGTAGTCATATATATGAATATTGTCTGGGTTAAAAGAATTGTCAGGAATAAATTTTAAGCTAGGATAACCTATAGCTTCAAACTTGCAAACTGGCAAAAATGTGAATTGACATAAGTGCGCCAAACAAGTTTGCAAACATTACGAATAAGCATAAGTGCAAAATTTGAATAAGTACAAAACAGTTACAAAAATTGGCAGAAGAGCGAACTGACATAAGTGCATGTAATAAATTTGCAAACATTGGCATAAGTGCTAATATGCAATTTGCCTTATGCTAGTTTGCAGTTATGCCAGTTTGCTCTTATGCCAATGCTTGCAAAATTATTTGGTACACTTATGCCAGTTCGCATTTATGTTGTTTGCACTTTTGCCAGTTTTTGCAACTGCTTCACATTTATACCAGTTCCCACTTATGGCAATTTACACTTATGAGAATGTTTTAAATCTATTTAGCACACTTATGCCGATTCGCACATATGCTAGTTTGCACTTATACCAGTTTCTGTAACTGTTTCAATAACTGCTTTGCACTTATGCCAATTCGCAATTATGTCAATGTTTGCAAATTTGTTTGACGCACATATACCATTTCGCACTTATGCCAGTTCACACTTATGCCAGTTCACACTTATGCCAGTTTGCACTTATGCCAATGTTTGGAAATTCTTTTTGCGCACTTATACCCATTTGCACTAATGCCATTTGGCATTGCGTCTGTTTTTGTAACTGCTTCGCACCTGTGCTAGTTTGCACTTATGCGAATTCGTACTTACGCCAGTTTGTACTTATGAAATTCACGGTTATTCACTCGTCCCATTATGGTAAAACACTTTAGGTAGAGCCATGCATGGGATTTGTATTATGGATTGTAAGATAGAAGTAATATCATTATAAACTTAAACAGAGTATTTATAGGAATGCACTTTTAATTTACTAACCTCTTCATCATACCTATCACAAGTTTTTGACAATTCTTACCACCAATTTTTTGAACTCTTTGTTTCTAATAGAAAGAAATTATGGAAAAACTAACAATTCCTAATTAAGTAGAAAAATTATATATTTTAAAGAAAATTTTTAAAAAAGAAAAAATTTGTCATACCAGTATTTAGCAATTTACAACTGCAGAGTTACTACAGAGTTACTGTAGAAACACTTATGAAACATTATTAAGTACTGAGTCAACTTAATCAAACTCTATTAGGCTGTTCATTTCAGTTACTAATTCTTGCTCACACTATTTTATATTAGGTTTTTTGGATCCTTGGGTTTTTATCTCATTTAGGAGACGCAAAACACAATATTAAAAGTCTAAACAAACTTAAAATAATTAAATTTTACATAGTATTAACAAAACTACGTATATAAATAAATCTAAAATACATAAATTTAATAATTTAACAACTTTACTGATCTAACCCTAAATCAGAGAAAAACTAATAGACAGTAAAATACTTGATTGTGGCAATGTTAATTTTTGGCATATCCACAATAAATACTTTACTATATATTACAATTTTTCTCTGATTTAGGGTTAGAGAAGAAAGATTGCTTCATAGATTTATAATTTTGATAATATTGAAATAATGGGTTTCATGCAAGTGATTATTTAAAGTTAAAATTGGAACCTCATCATTTGAATGAAATCTTTTAATATTTACAGTCGTATTAGCATTTTACAACAAACATTACATTATTATTTTTAACTAAAGACTTATTTGCTTGAGATAATGGAAATCTATCATATTTATCCTTTTTATTTTATGATGAAGATTGATGTGTCTTAAAATGAACCTCTTGGTCATCACAATCAATATCATCTTTATTTATTATTTTTTGATCTACAGAACACAAGCATACAGAACATTTGAATTTCATCTAAAAACCTGTTTTCTCATGTAGAAATTTTACAATTAAAAATCTTTTACAAATTACTTTACAGATTATTAATTTTATAAGTAAAATAGGATATATAATATTGTATATAATATTATAAGTTTCGTACTGACAAATATTTGGTAATAACACCAGAATATTATTAAAGGTTAAAAATCTTAAAATGACATTTTAAACTAAATCTCTTACTTTCTTGAAACAAATCATCATATTTTTTCCTTTCAGCCTTTTTAACTATAGTAATTCCTTAATAAAAAACACTGATATTATTATATTTTATTTTTAGAGTTAAAGAAGAAAAACTCTGAAAATGTTGTTCCCTTTTCTCAAATCCAGTCAAAAGCAGTTGATAATCAAGTAGAATTAAAAACTTAATCTAGTTTTTTTAGCAATCAAGTTTACTGAACAATTAAGCTATTTAATCTAAATTGCCTGATATGTACCTAAGTTGCCTGATATGTACAAGTTTAAAAAGTATGATACCTCATTAAAGTGTGCCAAAAAAGATACTTGTCATATTGCAAAACATGACATAGTGCTAAAAAGATACTTGACATATTGCACTTTGTATGAGGCACAAATAACTAAATTAAGTCTATGACTGTTGCAATGAGCATGCAGCTTTTTCATTTAGACTTAAAATACAAGAGGACAAATCTTTAGTGTGACCATCAATTGCTCTAGAACCACCATATCACAATTCATGATATATACAAATGGATTCCGAAATATTTTTTACCAAAAAATAAAATATTCCGTACTAGTAACACCATTTGTGCAATCTAAGAAACTGATAAATTGACTTTTTGAACCAACAAACCATATAATTAAAAGTAGTTGTTCTCTACTTTAATTGTCAGAAGCTTCATCAGAAAAATGTTTAAAATTTTTAAACTATTTTGTTATTAAATTCTCTGAAACACTTTTTTACCAGATATTATGGTGTCTTAGATTTGTAATAAGCGTTTTTTGTTGATAATATTTAAGCTGATCTTGAGGAATTTTATCACCAGCATAAACACGGATATGTTGCAAACACGATTTATTAAGAAAACTTTGTATATTTACGGAGTCGAGACATTTTAAATACCACAATAAACTTTAAATATTTCAGGGTGAAAGTAGGAAGGTACGTCCGACAGTATTTTTTCATAAATAAAATCGATTACTTAAAATTTAAATATTGAAAACTAAACTAAATAAAAAGCTCAACCACAGAAAAAAATAATGTTAGGTACGTCCATTGTTTTATTTTGATATGAAGTAACTATTAAAATATATTTCACCTCCTGATTATCGCTAAACAATGGATTTTAACTAAGATTTTACTTAGGGTGTACTGTTTTGGATACGTCCAAAAGTTAAAGAAATTGATATTTTGCTTTTATAACAAAAAAATAAAAATTTAAAATCGTTTTTTATCGTTTAACAAAATAATATTGGGTACGTCCATTGACTCTTCTAATTAAATATTATTTATTATTACTTTAACCTCCAGTTAATAAAGATTTTTTATTTACCGCTCTAAACAAAAAACAACTTTAATTACTCTAAACAAGAAGCAAAATTTTTTTTTTTTATAACTGTTTGTATAAAGGTGATAAAACTTAAATTTAATTCACTTTCCGGTTAAACTAAAAAAAGTTATTTTTATACGCAATATTGAAATAATATATTAACTTTTTTTTTTAGAATTAGTTTTATTTTTGGGTACGTCTACAGACGTACTAGCCGTACCCTAGATCCGCCCGTGGGTATATACTTATAACATAATATTTGCGTTTCGAATGGATTATTTATTTTTCTGATGTTATGAATGCGTGAATATATATTAAAAAATTTTACACTTAAAATTTGGCCAAAATACATTTTTTTGAGTAGCGCAATTTAAATAATGTTATTGGCTAACTTTTTTCTACAGTTTCTTATGATTCTAACAGTATAAAAAAATAAGTACTGAAATAATAGATAAACGTTAATTTATGTTTGAAAGTGACCGAAAATAGCTTTTTTTTTATTATTAAAATTTTATCATTATTAAAACTTGATTTTCTTCCTAAATACAAAACCTTTTCTTTCAATTTTCATTACATATAATTTTATTTCAAGTTACAAAAATATTTGAATATGTCATTTAAAACATGCAATATGAACATTTGAAAAATGCAATTTTAACAAAATTAAACTAATTTTTATAGAGCTTGGACTTTTTACGTTCAACTTCCTTCGCAAAGCCAATTCTGTTTTTAAGGAGAGTTTATATTATTCTACAAAAAACCAAAAAAGTTGGCTGCCCCGATTTGCCCCATTTTAAAATAATGTGGTTTTAAATAGCTCATTTTATTAAAAAATTTGCGACTTAAATGCTAATTACGAGGTAAATTAATTTCAGTTTTTATGTTTTGAGAGTTTTTCCTGATATTTCTAAACAAAACTTTGAATGAGAATATATACATATATATATTTTTTATTTACATTTATTTTGCCCATTCTAAAAATACAATCAACTTAAATGTACAAAAAAATATATACATATCCATAGTAAAGTTGTACATCTTGTCACCAGACACCGTTTTGTATATAAAATTTAAAATGGAATGGATTTTTTAATGATCTTTATTAGGTAAAGAATTAAACAGACAGGGGCTCATATAAGATAAGGATGACGATACGTTGTCGCAATCTTTTCATAGAGCCCCTTAAAAAGTTTTAATAAAATATAGTCATTTTTATTTTAAACTAAAAATCGAAAAACTAAGAAACTATGAAAGTATAAAAGTATTCTATTATTGCGCTAATAATTAAAACAAAGACAAATAAAAAACAACTGAAAAAATGATCAAGAGACTTCCGAATATATATTTATACATATATATTCGGATATATATGTATAAATATATATGTATATAAATGTATATATATATATATATATATAATATATATATATATATATATATATATATATATATATATATATATATATATATATATATATATATATATATATGTATATATATATATATATATATATATATATATATATATATATATATATATATATATATATATATATATATATATATATATATATATATATATATATATAAATGCATGCATGCAAAAATTAAAATCATTTTGCTTTCATTTTTTTATAAAATGAATATAAAACTTATTAAACATCAACTTAATGTACTAATTAAGAACAGAACTTTGATTGATAAAATTGAATTACTTCAAAATTTACTTTTTATTTACATTTTCACACAAAAAAAACTGTACAAACACCCCCTCCTCCTCTCCTCCACCGCCATATTTTGAAGATTTTTAATTTACTGTTTCTAAATACCTTTTTTACTTCATAGAGCAATTTTGAATAAATATTTTCAAAAAAATAATTTTGGCCTATTTTTAAGTTATTATGATCACTGTGTGCGGGGTATTTGTTCCTACAGTGATAGATATGGCGAAAACCAAACCTACAGTGTTAGTGTTCAATACTGGTTTCAATAGTGTAATTTATATATTCCCAGACAGCATGTATATACTGGTCCGATAATGGCTAGCCAATGCCAGCAAATTCTTTAAAGGCCCGATTAAGTTCCGTTCTTGTATTGCCAGTTCTGGGAAGCCGTAACAGGGTCATTGCCGAGCCTTTATAAAGTTGCCTGAGCTGGGTAGCCGCAAGAAAGCCATTAATTGGTCCAACAAAGATTTGCCGAAGTAGAATAACAGACATTGGGCCGATACTGGCTCATTAGTACTGATGTGCCAGCAGACTTGTGGAGCTGACTGTTTTTTTTACGGCTCGGCTCCAGCTCCTAAGAAATAATCGGCACCGGCTCGGCTCCGGCTCCCAAACTTTATCAACAAAAATCGCAAGTTTTGGACCACATTTGCCAACCTAAAATTATACCAATTACCGCAATTAATTTTTTACCAACTCTCATGATTACACGATTATTGTATTACTATCACTACTCTACTCTACTACCGAATATTACATTTGAAAAGAAAAATGTTTTGGGTAAACAAAAATTTTTTTCTATATATTATTTACCCAAAACTAGAGTTTTTAGTCCAAATTTTAATTCTAGTTCTACCCAGGGGTACGGTACCTAAAAAAGACGTCTTTTGAACGTCTCAAAGACGTTCAAGTTGTTCAAAAGGCAAACAAAACTTTCAAAAGACGTTTAAAAGACCTCTTTTGTATGTCCCGTGCTCAATGGGTAAAACATGCTATCGTTAAATTCAAAACGATACAAAATTCAAAAAACAAACAAAAAATAGTTCAACTAATGCAAAAACTTTAATATTTATTTTATTCTAAGGAACTTGAGGAACTTATAAAAGTGCTTTCTATTTTAATATTTTTCATTATTTTGAATAGCAAACATTTATGCTAATTGACGACACCAACTTCTGCACAGTGTCTTTTACAAATTTTTTCTCTACTAATGTTCACTCTCTAATCAAATCTTATCTTGTACTTGTTGTTTTGCCACTCTTACGCAAATAGCCTTTGCTAATTCCCCAAAACTTCTCAATGGGACGGAACTGTGCGCAAATTAATGGATTCAAGCTTTTTGGTATGAATTTGATGTCTTTCGAATTGTACCAATTTTCTTAGAACAAATACAAAAAGTAAGAATAGGCCAGAACTAACAGGGGACATCGTAATTACTTGCCATAATTTAATTTTTAAAAAACTCTGAAACTTTATACCTTATGGCATGTTCTCTGTTCGATAAGCCGGGAATTTGATTGATGATTGTCGAATACTGATTACTGTTTCTTATCCTTAAAACCACTCTTTCATTCAGATCCTTTTGCTCGTTCAATAGATAGAGAGCTCTTGTATTCTTTTATGACTATACAAACAGTAGATTTGCTAGATTCAGATGCTATAGCGATTGAAAGTAACGATGCAGAAGAATTTGATAGATTGTTGCGCAGACTTTTTTTTCGTTTTTTTAAAATATTTCAATGACAATTTAATTAATAGAAAGATTTTGACTCGTCTGTTGATGTTTTTAATTAATACTATAATTACTTAATGTAATTACGCAAAAAAAAGTACATTAAAAATGTGTTAGTGACAAGTTTTAAAACGAATTTCATCGTTCCAAGTTTAACGATTGCATGCTTTAATATACGAATAACCTTTGATCATTATATCGCGCACACGGCGATCTATACTGAAGGCCTTGCCATCGCGCAAACAGCAAAACATACCTTATGACATGCGCCTTATGGCATGCGCAAACGGCAAAAACAAAAGTTTTTATATTAACTCAATGAACTTTTTACTCTCAAACTGTTTCACTTTATAACAAACAAACTAAAATTCAAACAAAATATTTCTTAACTTATAAATTTTTCTCAAATTCAAAAACAAAAAAACTCAAATTCAAAAACAAAAACCATATATATATATATATATATATATATATATATATATATATATATATAATATATATATATATATATATATATATATATATATATATATATATATATATATATATATATATATATATATATATATATATATATATATATATATATATATATATATATACTTACACACTTAAATAATCATATAGATAAAATTACAATTAAAAATTTGTGATAAGAATACAATAATATTTTAAGAATTTATAAAAATTTTAATATTTTTTGAGCTGGTTCTTTATTTGAACGAGGAGTTGAAAGTTTACATAAATTGTTTAAAAAAATGTTTGAAAGAATATTTTCGTGATGTCGATGCATTTCAAAGTTGTAAAACTCTGATATCATCATTAGAATATTGCTCAATGAAACTCTGCATACTTTATCTTTAATCGTATTAAAAATTATAAAATAAAAAATTACCCATTGACAGGTATTATCTGTGGGAATATTAAGTCCACCACGGTCAATTGATTCTATGTATTGTCCAAACTTTTGGTGGTAGAAAGTTGTTTTTTCTAGCAGCTCATTTTCTGATAGTTCATTATCTTTACGAGTTAAATATTCTGATATGTATATAAGTGCCATATTTGTATCAGAAGAAATAAAAGATTCAAGATTTGGCAGGTTGTCAAATATCTCAGCAGAGGACTCATCCAATAAAAAACCACAATTTGGATAAGAATGGGTTGTATCAAAACATATGTCAACAGCTGGGTTATTAAGAGATAGTAAAAGCTTGGCTCTTGAAATATTCAGTTTTTCAATTACCTGCTGTACTGTTATAAAATATGTACCTCCGGAACCTTGTCGCAATTTGCTAAACTCTTTTTCCAATGGATCAGTAGAAAACTCACTAAGAATAACATATTGGTGTGAGCTATTCAATAATGAACGACATAATTCAACAACACCATTGCACGTATGGTAAATTGGTTGTGCAGTGTCACAAGTAAGTTGTTTCTTCCTTTTACCTTGCTTTCCAGCCATCTTTAAAGCCATATTTCGGAAATTTAAAACATTTTCTAATCTATTATCATTACGATCTCTAATAACTGCTTGAAGTTCATCATTAAACCTAACATCTGCACCTGTTCCTTTAACATTAAGAACTTTCCACCATGATACGACAATGTTAATAAAATCTGCTGTGTCTTGTCTTTCTTTTATATGCTGCAGTCTTGGATGATTAATCAAAGCATGGTAAGTTTTGTCACAAAATATCCTTAAACAGGTAGACACTGACTGCCTCTCGATTGGCTTCGGAAATATTGAAACTTTGTTTAAATTAGACAACTTAACTAAGTTTTTACACCTTTTCAAGATGTATATGAGAACATAAAAGTTGTAATTAAGAAGTCGTAATATGTAGTTAAGAAACACAACATGTAAATAAGAAGTCGTAACATGTAATTAAGAAACACAACATGTAATTGAGAAAACGTAAGATATAATTGAGAAATCATAATATGTAATTGAGAAATCGTAACTTGTAATTGAGAACACATAAATTAAAATAGCAAATTCACAGTCTAAGTTTGTAGGTTGTTACAAAAATTCTTTTTGGACATGAGTTTAAGTTATAATCTTAAATTTTGCTTTTGTATGCACAAGTAATAATAATGGAATTGAAAGATCGTTGTGTTATATGCCAATACACTATGACCCGAAAGTCTGTGATTAAGCTGAATCCGTGTCAACATTTATGTCACCAAATTTGTTTACGTCCAGTTCTGGAACAACCAGATTCAAGTTGTCCGATTTGTCGGCATGAAATACACACAACTGAACAAGTTGAAAGGAAACGTTACGTTTTATCTTCTCCAAATGAAAGGAGAAGAGTTGTTGAATGTGCAAAGCGATTTGAAGATTGGGTGAATCTCGTGCAAACGCTAGGTATCAAATATAAGACAGCATACAATTGGGTTTGCAGCGGAAATTCAAATTTCATCGGAAAAGGAGGTTTTAAACCGAAAAAGTTGACCGAAGATCAAATCGAAGAAACATTAACATGGATTGAAAATGATTGTCAATTAACATTGGTGGCCATCAAAACAAAGATATTAAGACAATTTAACATAAACGTTAGCACAACAACAATAGCAAATTACCTCAAAGGCAGATTGTTCTCATTAAAAAAAGTGCACAAGGAGCCTTCTACAATGAACAGTTATGAAAACAAACAAAAAAGAGCTGAATATGTTAGAAACATCAACGAACATATCACAAATGGTCGTCAGATAGTTTGGTTGGATGAAACAAATTTTAACCTTTTTTGTAGAAAAATGCAAGGACGCGCGAGACAAGGAAAAAGAGCAATTATGAAAGTACCTGCTTCAAAAGGTTTAAACATACACTTGATCGCAGCAATTTCAACTAGAAATGTCGTCATGATAGAAACTCGCAGGGGATCATTTAAAGCAGATTCCTGTAACGAGTGGATGTTGGCTATGTTTCACCAGTGGGTTACATCTGGGAATCGTTTGGAGGATTTGGTCGTCGTAACAGATAATGCTCCTTGTCACGCTCGTTTGCAAAGGGTGTTTGATAATTCACCAGCTCAGTTGTTACGTTTGGGACCTTACAGTCCAATGTTGAACCCGGTGGAAACGATCTGGTCCAAAATTAAAAGTAACGTTAAAAATGCACTTCGCATTCCACCTGTATTAGGTGACGGGATTGCGGAACAGCGCATGCAGTACTTAGAACGAATTGTAATTGAGGCAAAAAATACTATAATGGGAGGAGATTGTGCACGTGCGGTACAACACACAACCACGCACTATGCAACTATTTTAAATATGGAAGGCGTACAAGTTGGTGCTTAAATGATCAATGAAGTGATTTTTAATTATATAATTTTTAATTATAATTTTTAATTGAATTATAAATTTTTCCCTAAAATGTTTTTAGTGTTTATTATGTTAAATTCATTTGCTTAAAAATTATAAATTTTTTCCTAAATTTTTCCCTAAAAAATTAAATTTACGCTACAAATCTTGCGTCATTTTTAAGTGCGTCATTTTATACGCGCCATTTTTTTTAAGCGCCATTTTACACTTACTCCTTTAAAGCGATATCTAAATTAAAATTTTCGTGTTCTCAATTACATCTTTCTATTTCTTAATTACAACTTACATTTTCTCAATTACATGTTACGATTCTTAATTACAATTTTCGTTTCCTAAATTACATCTTATGTTTCTTAATTACAACTTACGTTTTCTCAATTATATCTTACGTTTCTTAATTACAACTTTTGTTTTCTCAATTACATCTTACGATTCTTAATTACAATTTTTGTTTTCTCAATTACATCTTGAAAAGGTGTAGATTCAAGTTCATAAAATTTTTTCAGGTGATCCCATTGTGCTACTTTTTGTACCCCTTTATCATAAAATATAAGTTGACCAGTTTTTCAGTAAGCCAATTATTTCTTTTTAGCCGATAAATAATTTGTGGTACAGCCATAAATACAACACTTTTTACCCATATTTCAATATCACTAAAATGGCGATTATAGTTAAATACAGTTTAAAATAGGCCCCCAGTGAAATACGTTTTTTGCGCCTGCAGTATAGATCGCCGTGATCGCGCATCAAATATACAACAGCATATTATCAGTATAAAAATATAATATAAAGCAATATATGTAATAGTGTAATGTTTTTAAATATAATTTACATTTTTTTTTTATAAAGCGTATTAAGAAATACTATTAAAAAATAGTATTTTGTTGAGTACAAAATCGTTAAAATAATCATTTTTATTACGTTTTGGCAAGACCGTATCTGTTAGAAAGAATATTTAAATAATAAAAATTCAATGTTAAACAATAAATGAATAATGTTTGTCTAGAGTAAAAAAAAAATAAAAATATATATTCTATTCCTTTAAAAAAAACTCGAAAGCCGTGAGCCGCTCGAGTTTTTTTTAAGAGCCTTTTGCGGCTCCGGCTCCACCAAAAAATAGCGGCTCCCCGGCTCCGGCTCGACTCCACAAACCTGTGTGCCCAGTATCTGTTGTTCTGCTTATAAGTTGTGACCATTTTGGACATGTGTTGTTACTATATTGTAAAAGCATATATGTAATAAATTATTAAGTTGTGCTTATGTTTGTTTTTATTTTATTCAAGTTAAAACGGATGCAAGCACTAAAGAAGACAATAACGTTACAAATTGAAGCAGAAATTTATAACGAATCATGTGGGCAATTGGATACGAATCGCGGAAAAGCACTGTTGTCAAATGGTAATGAATCAAATCATTGTACTATAATTGCGTAAATATATTTTAAAATTTAAGCCTGTTTTTCAAATTTATTCATAATAATTAAAATTGTCAATAATCATGTGTTTAATACATTTTATTGTCCTTAAACTAATGAAAAATACGCCAACCAAAAAATTACAGTCGATTATGCTAAAAGCAACTTTAAATAATTAAGAAGGCGGTGTATAAAAGGAAAATATAGGGACTTCAAATAGGATTGCCCGATGAAAATCCATAACAATCCCATGCGCAACCCAGTTAGTTAACGAAGACAAAATCACAATGGTACGGTAAAATACGATGGTATGGGAAAATGGCTATTCGTTGTTCTGCCAGTTCTTGTCTGGCAGTGGCTAGCCGCTGTTTTGCCATCCCTGGCTAGCCACTGCTGGTCCTTATTCAAAACGGAGCTTTGCCAGTGTTGGCAGCCGAAGCCGGTCCAGCGCGGTTGCCTATACAGGAACAGTGCGGGACCAATATATCCTTGCTGTTTGGGTATATACTTCGCTGTTTGACATAATTACAATAACTAAGTAAATAAATAAAAATTTACTTGACAGGAGCAAAAAGAAGACAATAGTTATCTTATCTCTAGGGTTCATTTTCGAAAACGTATTTTTCGAAATTTTTCGGACAAAACGTAAATTTTAATTTCAAAAATTAAAATTCAAGTTTGAAAAGCCAAAGCTATTTCGAAAAAAAAAAATTTCGATATACTAAACTAATTTCGAAATTTAAAATGAATTTCGAAAAGTTAAATAAATTTCGAAAGAAAAAAATGAGTTTCGAAAATTTAAATTAGTTTCGAAAACAAAAAATACCCATTTCGATATGCTAAATTATTTTCGAAAAAAAAAAAAGTTTCACAAAGCTAAATAAAGTGATTTTATTTTTGAAAAAAAAAAAAAGAGTTTTAAAAAGTGTAATGTCTAATTGTGCTTTCGCGGGCATCTACAAAAACTTTTAGTAGCGCGGACGCCTACAAATGTGGAAAGTACACGCAACGTTCGACTGTTGGGGAGTTCATGCATGGAATCGTCACAAATCCATCTAATTTCTAGGATTCTGTCTTTGTCTTTAGCCGCAAAAACTGTTTTAATCCTAAAAATAGTTTTAAACTGGCAACAGCTAATACAATTGGTTTAACAGAATTATGAAGGTTAAATTTGAGTAAAAAAGTAAATTATTTTTAAATGTAAAATATTAAATATATTTACGAATAAAATTAAGTTACTAAATAATAATAATAATAATGATAATAATAATAATAATAACATTGCATTTAATTATATGAAGCTAATTTTAAAAATGCGAAGTAATGCGTAGAAGTGCTTAGTAAAAGTAATTTATTTTTACAAATAAAAATTAACCACCGTTCTCCTAAATATGCAATAAATGTCAACCCAAATTCCAAAGAAACCGCAATATGCCTGTGAAAGCTTATGGACTCCTGGATTCCAAAAATATAAAAAATCAAATCATTCTATTACGTCCGAAAAAGAAAATCACTTTTGAAAATTTTTATTTTGCACATATTCATGAAATGACAGCATTCTCAAAATTTTACATTTTTACAGCATATCTTAACATTCAAAAAGCTCTTTGATAATAATAAAACCTACTTAACATAATAAAGAAACAAAAAATATGAAAATGTGAAAGATTTTATGTTATAAAATTGGTAGTAATCCAAATAGGTAAAAAATCGCTTGGGTAAAATATTGCTTTTCTAAAAGTTTTTTCTAATAAGTTAACTCTAGAATAATAGTTTTTTTTAGTTTGCACTTTTTGAATAATTTTAAATTATTTTTAAGAATTTACTAAAAAATTCCGGGAAAAGGCAATTAAAAAGTATTTTTAAGAATTTACCAAAAAAATTCCAGGAAAAGGCAGTTTACTGCAAATCAAAGCTTTTGAAGGTCGATTTTTTAACCTTTTCTCCTGAAATAAATTGAAAACGTCTAATCATGCAAGAAGTCAAGATGAGAACAGAAAAGTTGTTTGTATCATGTGTCTTAGAAAAGGAAATTGTGAATTGACACCGCAAAATTCAAAACAACTACAAAAAGCAGTTCAGCTTTGATGATCCAAGAATTCCTCAAGGTCTTTGTGATCCGTGTAGACTGGCCCTTGGAAAGTGTGATCAAGTGCAGAAGGTTGTTTTTTTCAGGCTGTTTCAATTTGAAACCATTGATATAAAAGTTCACACACTTGGACAAGCTTGTGAATGCTTGATTTGTGACATAGGGTGACATAAACTGACAGAGAAACACCCTCTTGAAAGAACAAAAACTAGAGAGAAAATATCAGACAGAAGATGTTCTACATGTCTCTCTCTTATTGGTCGAGGTTTACCCCATCATTGCTTTTCATCACAGTTCTATGAAAGCTTAAGGGAGTTTGCAAAATCTAATGGAATTGTGGCAGTACAAATTGCCAGCTTAACAATTGTCAGCAAAGAATCTTCTCCTTGTGGAACCATTAGACTTGTGCAGCTAAAAGGAGGAGGACTGCTCCCAATTACACAAGGTTTGTATATAACTCTTCATTAAGGTCAACCATCACATTAAAGTAACTTAAACATTATATTTTACTCTTTAACAGGTCTTTCTTGCTCTAAGCAGTTGTTCAAAAGTTCAGCTTTAGTCACCGCAAAGGACCTTGCTCAAGCTCAACTAAATACAGGATTGTCAAATAATGGAATAAAAAAACTGACTTCTACCATTAGGTATGTTTCGTCTGCCAAAGTTCTGGAACCAAATATATTGCACGAGCTCCAGGATCTCGGAAAAAGTCTAGAAGAACACTTTACACAAACCCCAACAATTTTCATTAGTTCAGATCAAAAGAAGTCTCAAAGTGTTGTTGTCCATTGCAAAAATCTCCAAGCACTCACTGAAGAAGTTATACTTTTAAGGAAGGTTTTATCAAAACACATCATTAAACTTGGAACAGATGGTGGTGAAGGTTTTCCTAAAGTCTGCCTTGGAGTTCTACAAAATGAAGCAGATAGTGAAGCTGTGTCTCCGCCAAACAAAAGATTTCTGACATCTTCAACGTCCAAGGATTCTGGAGTAAAACAGCAACTTCTGGTTGCAGTTGCTGAAGGAGTTCAAGAGAATTACTCCAATTTAAAGCTCATTCTCTCTCTCATTTCAATCAGTGAAATCAACTTTGTTGTCTCGTGTGATATGAAGTTGGCAAATATAATTTGTCGATTGCAATCACATGCTTCAGCTCATCCATGCACATGGTGCACTGTGGAAAGCTCTAACCTTGCAAACCGGGGTACTCTGAGTAAATTTAGATCTTTGAAGCAAGCACACAAAACCTACACAGCAGCTGGATCCGACATCAAGAAAGCAAAATTGTTTAGAAAAGTGATTCATGACCCTATTTTCTCACTTGATGATGATGAACTTGTGTTTGATCTCATTCCACCAATGGAGCTTCATATACTGCTTGGGGTTGTTAACCATCTGTTCATGATTTTAACAGACCTTTGGCCCAAATCAGCTGAATGGGTCCAAGCTTTGCACATTCAGCCCCAACCTTTTCATGGTGGTCAATTTGCTGGGAATGATTGCCACAAGCTCCTAAAAAATCTAGACCTTCTCCAAACACTGGCTGAAAATGACAGTGCCTTTCAAGTTTTCAGCATCATTGACAGCTTTCGAAAGTTTGGTCCCATTGTCTCTGCATGTTTTGGCAACAAGTTGGATTGCACTTATGCACATATTTGGCATTTTCAAGAGGAAGCATCACTTCAAAAGTACATGCAGTGTTTTTCCATGTTAAGGACTTCATCCAAAAAACAAGGTCTCCTCTTGGAATATACAGTGAGCAAGCAACAGAATCTATTCATCGTCGTTTTCAGAACCATTGGCAACGATACAAACAACCTATCAGCCATCCAGATAATTGAAAAAGGCTAGAAATGTGCCTAGTTGATTTTAACAGCAAAAGTCTGTGAACAGTTTGGAATTTGTAAAGAATTTTTTTTGTCAAGAATGTTGTTGCTTTAAATGTGGAATTTATTTTAATATTTTTTTTGTATTTACCTACATGATCTTTTACCTATTTGGATTACTACGAAACTATTATTGAAATTATTCTAGAGTTAACTTATTAGAAAAAACTTTCAGAAAAGCAATATTTTACCCAAGTGATCTTTTATCTATTTGGATTACTACCAATTTTATAACATAAAATCTTTTACATTTTCATATCTTTTTTTTCTTTATTATGTTAAGTAGGTTTTATTATTTTCAAAGAGCTTTTTGAATGTTAAGATATGCTGTAAAAATGTAAAATTTTGAGAATGCTGTCATTTCATGAATATGTGCAAAATAAGAATTTTCAAAAGTGATTTTCATTCTCGGACGTAATAGGATGATTTGATTTTTTATACTTTTGGAATCCAGGAGTCATAAGCTTTCACAGGCATATTGCGGTTTCTTTGGAATTTGAGTTGACATTTATTGCTCATTTAGGAGAACGGTGTAACATAAGTAATTAACATAACAAAGATACTTATTAATGAAAATAACTTGCCAAAGTATGTCATAAAAATGTTATTTAGATGTTACTTTAAGTATATACGCTACATAATACGCTAATAAAATCATTTAAATAAGTAACTTATATAAATGATTTTATCAGCGTATTATGTCCAAAAAGGAGCTTTAGATGTTATTTTTTTTTTTCTGCTTGAGGTTTTTTTGTTAATTAAAGAAACTTTTATTATTTTTTTTTAAATACAATTTTCAAAAGCTTTTTACTACCCCTAATAGTGAATCTAAAGAACACCAT